AATTACTGAAATTAAATTTCTAAAAAAATCTTAAAATTAATTATTTAATTTGCTGGTAATTGAGAATTTAACGTTAGAGACCATAAAAATTAGTAATTTTACTGTTCACTTTTGAATAATTACACTAATATTACCTGGAAAAAGTACATAAAAACGCCTACGTGTGCATAGAAAGCAAAACAAGATTTTTAATGTCAACAACCAGCGGCCGAAAGATTCGCTCGAACACCAATCGAATCAAAGTATTTAAGTTTATCAGCAAATATTTGTCTTAGAAAAACAAGAGAACTAGCGAAGACGCTGAGCTGAGCGCTTGGGCATCCTGCTTTCGCTAGTGGTTTGAAGAAGAACGTTTTTGAAAGACGTTTCATTGTTTAGGTCGAAATATAAATGAAAAATGTCGAAATGTTAACGAAGGCCGCCGCTGTGACCTTGAACTTGAAAATCTGGGTATTTACTCATATTTGTCGATTTATATAATATATAAAAAAAAACGGCATTGTATGAATGTATATATACAATATTATTATTTGGTGTTACAGTTGTCATATTTATATATATTTAATATTTAATCTCTGCTTTTCTGGGTTTTTAGTTGTAAATTATATAGAACAAAAGGTTATCAATGTAGGAAGACAGATAATCGATTAATCGCAATTACAATAAACTAAGTACTAAAGCACATTATGGAAGTATAGTACAGCAACAGTTTAGCGTAAGCTTTGGAATCGGAAACAATAATGCGGCTTTTGGGCTCCAGGCGCAATAGGTGACAAAACTGTGTGACATCAACAGTTATTTTATGAGAATGGCGAACTGTAATTTCTAAGTTTTCCAGCTTTGATGACTTTAAGTTTTTTTTGAGTTAATGTTGAGTTAATAAGAAATTAAATTGATAATTTTTTCCAGCAAAAGCATTTTTAACCCTCTAATTCCAAGAGCTGAGTCGATTTAATCATGTCCGTCTGCGTGTTTGTCTAACATATATACATATAAGCGAACTAGTCCCTCAATTTTTGAGACATTTTGCAAAGGTCTTTTTCTCAGACATCAGACCACTATAGCATATAGCTTCCATACAAACTGATCGGTCAAAATTAAGTCCTTGTATGGAATACTTTTCTATATGACAATATATCTTCACGAAATTTAGCATAGATTATTGCCCAAGGTGAAGCTAAAATCTTCGAATATATTGTTCAGATAGGACTATTATAACATTTAGCTTCCTTACAAACTGATCGGTCAAAATCAAGTACTTGTATGGAAAACTTTTCGAAAACTATTTAACAAGAAATTTTCATGAAATTTGGCATAGATTGTTGTCCAAGACAAAAATCTCCAAACATATAGTTCAGATCGAACCACTCTAGCATATTGCTGTCATACAAACTGGCCGATAAAATAATTTTTTATATTCGAAGAAATACACCTGAAGGGTGTTATAGTTTCGGTGCAACCGAAGTTAACTTTTTTTCTTTTTTTTTTTGTAAACTAGTGTTATTATACATACGTAAATACGTACGTGCAATAATGAGAGATTTCAAAACTTTTACTCGAAATTGTATGGCGTTATGATTAAGTAAATCGAAATCAGCTAAAATGTGGGACACATGAAGACAGCTCACATGCGCATAAATGAATGTGAAAATGTGCGAAAGAGCGGCGAAGCAAGAGGTGAATTTGAGGAAGTTGAGCGTCAGCAACGGAGACAGTGCGCTTATTGCTATTGCAAGAACGATTGAAGTGAAATAAAAAGCAACAAAAGCGCACATTTCGAAAGCATTAGTCAAAGCAGCGTGAATTCTATTTAAAATCAGAAATCAAAAAATAGCAGCAACAACACGCTTTGACAGTAAAAGCAAAATTAATACGCCATGATGGAAAGCAAAATCGAAAATAAACAACAAGTGGGGATGCAAGAGTACTCTTTGTAGGGGAATTCGATGAATAAAATAAACTAAAGAAATTTTCACTTAAATAAGCAGAGTGGATAAATTAAAAAACAAATAATAATGGTGCAACCTAAAGACGGGGCAAGGGGAGTGAGAACAATGTGGTAACCAACAAGTGATTGACAATTGCCGGTTGCTCAACAAAAAAGCAAATCATAGAAAAAACTATAAATATTAAAAAAGTGCTGCCACTTGTACGTACTCCACTTCGATGACACTGCTCTTGCCCAGCGTCATGTTTTCAAGCTTAAAACAGCACCAACACTTCGCAACATTTTACAGAGCGTACAAGTGTTCATGTTCACTTCGTTACCGCAGCTTGTCCGCAATGACGGTGCATAATGCTGCTTACCCCGCTTGCACCGCCAACACCAACAGCTAGAACCACAAGCACACAAAGTTTTGGCAACAAAGCATAAAAAAGAAAAAGAAGTTAGATAGAAGAAGAACAAGCACAAGCAGAGAAAATGGGAAGCATTTCCTGTGCAGAGCGGAGATGTTGATGACAACATTAAAATAGTACTGTAATATCTGAAAATGTATGCTTCAGTGATAAATATCTATTTTGAACAAAAAATATAAATAAAATAAGCTGAAAAAAAAAACCGAAAAATCTTTCAACTAGAAAAGCCACCGTGAAATGTAACATTCGTTAAAGCCAGATGCACCATGAAAACAACTCAGTCGGTTGGACGATTACTTGGTTGACTGGTCGGTTGGTTCATTGTTTGGTCATTTGGTGTCGGTTGAGCATGTGTCCGACAGCATCATTCGAAAGTCATCAACATTTTTTATGCTTGAAATGCGGCACTTTTTTGTGCGGTACGACGAAGGGGCGCCTGTGTGTGTGTGTGTGCGTCTATATTAGGCTATGCGCTTGGAAAGCCGGAAAAGTGTCAAGTGGGATTGGCGTAAAAAGACGCGATGATGTGAATTGTCATAGAAACTTTGTTAGTGCCGCTTTGCGGTAAAAAAAAAAATATTTTACAAAAAATAAAATCAATAGAAGAAATCAAAGACTGACAAATATTTAGGCAAGTGTTTTTAAAATAAAATACATTTTTAGTGAAGATGCGAAAATTACAAGTTCTGTACATGTTGAGCAAAAGTGTGAATATATTCTAGGTTTTAGCACTTATTTGATTTCTGCAAACATTTTTATGCCCTAAACAGAACGAAACGTCGAAGACCTTATAAATTGTGTATATAAATTATCTAAATCGATTTAGCCATGTTTCTCTGTATGTCTGCACATAGGTACATGAACTAGTCCCTCACTTTTTGAGATATTCATCTGAAAATTGTTTACATGTTTTTTCTCCCCAAAAAACTGCTCATTTGTCAGAACAGCCGATATTGGACTATCATAGCATATAGCTGTCATACAAACTAATCGATTAACCTGTGAAAGAGGTCATAGCTTTGGTCCGAAGTTAACGGGTTTTCTTGCGTTTGTGTTTAATTAAGTAATACTAATAAAATATACATATATATGCGAATACATATGTACATCTATTGTTTTCAACTATGATAACAACAAGATTCTTTTTTTGCATATATGCATATGAACATAAATATATATGTATGTATATGCGCTGGGAGATTTACTAAATCAGAATAAAGAATATTTTATTCAAAAATACTTGGCGTGCTATAACTGCACGATTTCTGAAAAATAAAAAAATAATCACCGCCCAGCTAGTTAAATTAGCAGAGTGGCATGCTATTGCGTGTGTGGTATGTCTGCATATGTAAGTAATAACATGGTAACTGGAATACTGCATCCAGTTCAGGCGCATCCAACATAAATTACCGATGCTAACCTTGCAAAGAGCCAGTTCGACAGCATTCTAGTTTGCAGTGGCATTGCATTGTTTACTTATATCAGGCAATAGCCTTTTTTGTACTTGCTACCAATGGTGGCAAAGCCAGCAGCAACATGTTGCTGTCAGTCGTAAGCACCTATAAGTATATGGTTAATGTTTGTAGGTTTTCATAGGAAACAGGGGTTTGACGTGTTGATGCTGGCAATTTTATTGTATATGGCATATCGCAGAGTACTTTTTAGGGATATGGAAGAATTTTGTTTATTTTATGTCTACTAGTTACGAATATTTAAAAGGTATGTACTTGACAAGAAGGTAGATAAGACAAGAAGTCACCCTTGGCTATCTTTCGAACCGGTCACCTTTCAAGGTCTGGTAAGGTAACAACCACGTCAAAATATATTTATATTGAAAAAAGTTAATCATTTTTTGTATTTGTTTGATATCTATGGAAATTAAAAAAAAAAGTATATGTTTGTCTATACATACATATGTAGTTTGCGGAAAAGCATTTATTCTTACTCAGAAATGTACAACGCAGAGGAATTTTTAACGATAAGAAAATACATGTTGTATACATAAATACGTATTGTAAGCATATAATTGTATACATGCATATGTACTTACATTTGTATATATGTATGTATATGCCGAAGGCTAGTATGGCAATTCATTCTACAAAGCCAAGGTTTTGAAAGATAGAATAAACCAAATAGATGTATAAGATTTAATAACACTCAAAGAAATTGCAACTACAATACTAACAAAAATGTGTAATGCCGATTAACCGGTTTTTTGTGGCTCATGCGATATCTACCTATGTACATACATATGTACATATACATATGTTGTAAACTATTAGCCGAACTTAATATTGTTTACATACTTGTTTGGTAATCGAAAAAATTAAATAGTCTTTAAAGCTATTACTATTTATTAAAATATTTGAAAACATTTTTATCAAAACATGTAAATTATAATTTTATAATGTTTTTCCTCAAGCTTCAACATTAAATTATATCGCGTCCACTACATAAATCAATTATCGGAATTAAAAATCTTTAAAAATTTGGTTGTTTATAGCAAATACAAAAATTATCTAAAATTGAATATTCATATATATATTTAAACAATTTTTTTTTGTTTTATGTAAAAAACAACTATATTTAATGGCATGGAAGAGCCAAAACGAATCAACAAACAACTATATAACACTTACCTTATACAGTACAATGTATTTTATTCTTAATATTTGCAGCTACTTTATGCCGCTTTTCATTCTTTCCTTATTGGAATCTTTGTGCACATGTAAACATAATATTTCTACATATATACTAACAGTAGCATGATTATATTTATTTAGTCGTTACAAGGCGAAACTGCATATACAGGTAAACTTGTTTTCTCCATAAACGCGACTAATGATTTTTTAAACAGCAATCTGCCAGCACCACAACTTTATAAAAAGTGCACAATACAAATATGAATAGAGAATCAACTCACGACACTAGTTTAATATTTAGCTTTATTACCGCACCGGAAGTTGCGCACAACCCAATAATATTTTCGTTTAAATATTTACATCAAAAAAATGTATAATATCTGCTATCAATGCATTTACAATACCAACTAAGTGTTTTCCAATTGGGATGAAATATGGTTTCTGATTAGCCAGTTAAGTGGATAGCCTTGCGACGACGAATTGTATAGTACACTTGCATTTGTTACCTGACTGGTCACCAGGCTTTTTGCACATTTTTGTACGTATACATCGACTTGCAAAACACACACAATTTTCCAAAGTTGTACCATATAATCAATTGGCTAAGCTCCTTACCAGTTAAACACTTTTCACTACGCGTACATTTTATCTACGCTGCTTATTTACTAAAATAACTACCGTATATAGAGTAAGAAACACTTTTGCAATAAAATTTCTTTTATTTTCTGCAACAATTGTATAGATTAATACAATTCGTTTTTTCCGTCCAAACTTTTACGTCAATTACTTTTCGTTTTCATCCAATGACTGACACTTGACGTTTGTGACTGGCGCTGTTGTAGTGTTGCCAGCTATATCTTGTATGAAAGTAAAAATTAAATAGTTGCATTAAAAACAAAGTATAAAGTGACAGAGGGTGATGCATGTAAAATATAAAAACCTGTCTGCCGAATCTTATTTGTAGCTGCAATAATGATTAAAATTAAAAATGGTGTATTTATTGTTTGTAAAAGTAAAAATTAAACGTTTGATATAAAGTTTTATTTTTTATGCATTATGTTTCGAATATTTCTGATAGTTTTACACCCTGTGTTTTAAATTGCTTAACAGGGCGTATGAAAGGCTTTGAAGATTACATAAATATTTTGAATGTAGTTTAAATTTCTATCGCAACGAAAATAGGAAACTGTTTTGAAAATCATCTTTTGTTTTTCAATATAGAGTAATTTTTTGTGACAACAAGAGCAGTAAGCAGGTTTGAACTCCATCTTCAAGCACTTCGCAGAAATGTCAGCCGTTAGGAAATATTTCCGCATTTGGGGTAAAAACAGAAGATTTAACTTTCCTCTTTGCATTGCTTAGAATTAATTAACAATGTTGTGTATCAATGAACCCAATTCTGAAATACGTTGGGATATGTAACGATTTTGGAGGTTAACTTCGAAAAATTAAAAAAAAATAACTTTTTTCACTTATGATTCTATATTTGGAAAAAAATTGGGTAATTGTACACTTTCACGTTCACGTTAAAAAAAAAAATCATGGAAATCCGTGCATTTTTCGATTTTTGACAGCCAAAAAACCAGGTTACCGTGAAAGTGTACAATTACCAAACATTGTTTATGTACAATTTTTATGTTATGACTTCAGATCTCGAAACATTTTTTACCATTATGCCGCCGAGTATGCAATGATAAAATTCGTAGAATTAACTAAAGTATGCGTTATTGTTTTTGTCTGACCAATTAAACAAATAAATGCATTTAAAAATATTTATAATAACTTCTATATCTATAAATAATATCAAAGCACTTTGTTCGGTTCTAAATCGAAGGAAGGTAAAATATTATGCATAACATGAAAAAAGGTCCACTCTAGAAATATGCAGATAAGTGCACGTTTTTATTTTGTACATATGTACATATGTATATGCATACATTTGTCAATCCAAGTAAGATTTTTCATTTTAATAATGTAAAATAACCTTTGGAAGTTATTAAGCATAGCTGATAAGCACTGAAAGCTACTAGAAACAGGGTTTAGGCCAAGCTTCTTAAAAACTTTCGAGGCTGGCATCTTGGTTATTATCATTATTAAACTTTAATGACGGTTTGTTGCCAATTATATAAATTAGAATGTTTATTATAGTATATTTCTCGATTTCAATTAAAAAATATTTTTACTTTTTACAGTTTGTTGGTAGTTGAACAGAATTTTTTGCATTATGAATAGTCATATGCCACGAATAATCAGATTGTACTTCGTACGAATCCCCTCCGTAATTACCATATTACGCAGAAAATTTTTTTACATTCAAACAAACAGCTTAATAAATTTAATTGCTGTGGCAGGAAAATTTTTTTCTAATGGAAATTAAAATAGTAAAATAAATCTGCGACACATATTCACTTCACCCACTTCCTTTCAGGTGTGGATATCCGCTTACTAACAAACATAATATCAGGTAATAGTACATTCAGTACACCCATTTCATACAATGTAGTCGCAATCTAGACTTCATATTTTACTCATATAAATTTTTTGTATTTAAATTGTCAAAGCAACTACTTATAACTTATACTTTATTAAAGAGTGTGCTTGAATGCTAAGAAAATGATTACAATTAAAGAAGTTATACAAATCTTTGTAGTACAATTTTATATCCTTTTTTACTATTTTTCGTGTTTTACTGCCTATTGGTATACAATAAAAGGACTTGTAAGTGTTTGTAAAGGGTAGCCTTTATTATAAAGTAATAATTCTGTATTTAATACCAATGTGCAGCTCTTTGGTGGTTTACTTGTAAAAACTGTGATCATTGTATATTTAATATATTTGGTGATTAACTACCGCGTATACCACAGCACTTTCGATGGCAACGGGTAAGTTTTGAGTATGCAAAATAGTTGAAAAAATGGAGGTTCCATCAAATCGAAATGACTGGATAAAATTTTTATAAAATAATTTTCTTCGAATAAGTATTTACTCAGGTATATCCACTTGTGAATCATCAATACATCATTTTTTTTTTTTTTAATATATGTATATTGAATGTACATATCTTTGAAAATTTTCTCCAAAAAGTTGAAATTGGTTCGGTGAATAGTTTCGAAGATATTTTTATGAATTCTTTAAGTAATCAACTCACAAAATTATAAACACGTTTTTCTTGAAACGCTGCTTACAGAGCCGATGAACAAAATTGCTCCGAAAGGGTTGAACCGAATGACTTGAAATTTTCACACGATCTTCTTAGATATACATATTTGTCAGATAATGATCGAAGCAAAACGAGTTGTGACAATAATTTCGATATTTTAAGTCACTCTGAAGAGTTTTTTTTTGCTTTTTGGAAGCTACGGTTTTGTCAAAAATCAAAGTTTAGTTTTGGCTCGACCTTTGATCATTGCCTGTATTCATCTGGTTTTTGCATTTGAGACAATTTAAAGCAGACAAGTCTTCCTCACCACCAGACAAATTTTATCGCAAGTCCTCCTGATCGGCTAAGGGATCATGGGCATCCAATTTATTTTAAATGAATGCCCGATTATTAAAGTTCATTAAATTCACTAAATGTACATTTTCTTTAATAAGATGCTCCTTTCAAGAAAATTTCACAAAAAAGGTTTTTTTTCTGACTTGCAAGTGAATATATCCCCATAAATCACAATTTTAATTAAATTAAATTAAAGTTTTTTTCCTTCAAGCCTTACTGAAACAGTTTATTTAAAAAAAAAAATATTATTGCCTTATATTTACATTTTAAATTGTTTTATTATTTGCATGCTCTTTTCGTACTTTAGTTCCGTACTTTTACGTTCGGAGCGTGGTTTCGGCATCATGCGTGACTACTTACCGGTAAGAATGCGGAAGACTGCGGAAATTCCACCAAATCGTAATTACTTGTTAGCATATTTTCCACATGGAACATTGTCGTGAGTACACTGTATATTATATAACCTTTCATAATGATCTATGAAATAATAACGAGATCTGCAAAAGATTAAAACAAACGTGCAAATTTTTCGCCACTATTTTTCACGAATTCCAGAGTAGGTATATGCTTGAATTTACTGCTCGAAATAACACATTTCTTGCGTTTATTCCCCGGTATTCGGCCAAAGGTCGCAACTTTAAGTATTAATTTTTGGCCACCATTTTTTCGCGAAATATGGCGTTGTCTTGGCTATGTATCATCATCTAAGCCATCATTATTATACTATTTGAATAAATCGAATGATCCTGCACATCCTGATAATACAGATGGTTACACTTCATATATGATTGCCTTGGCGGTGGGCGGTGAACAAGAAGCTCTACTAACTCAACCGGGCAAGTATACGATTGTGTTGAAAAAACGTTTCGGTTTTGTCAAATTGGCCATACAAACTGGGTAAGCTGTCATCGTCTATACTTTTGTGATTATATAAAACTATTTATGACATATTCTTATAGTTCGCCAATTGTGCCATCCTTTGGTTTCGGTGAAAATGATTTATATACGATCCCTGATAAATCCTGGTTCCGCGTATTACAAAGGTTTTTTAAAACATATTTCGACTTCACACCTATGTTAATGAAAGGTCGAAGTGGAAACTATTTTCTACCTTATAAAAAGAGAGTAACGCTTGTGGGTAAGGGCGCAATATTTTGAAAAATAATTATGCTGTTTTTTTTTTATATAAAATAAAAATTAAAAAAATTTGATTTTTTCTAAATTTTCATTTTACAGTCGGCAGTCCAATTGATGTCAAAAGGACTACCAATCCGGACTCAGCATATATCGAAGAGATACACGCAAAAGTCGTGGAAGCTGTACGTCAGCTATTTGAAACATACAAAAGTGAATATATTGAAAATAGTGAAGAAGCTGAATTAGTTATAATATGAGCAACCTTTTTATGATATAACTGTATGTAGTTCATTTTAGAAACCTAATATAATCTTCTTTTAGATTACAGAAGAATTAAGTCGACTTTTGGAAGTTATTGTAGAGTAAAATGTCTGTGAAAGTGTATCATTTAAACTATGGACTTCATAGCTTTTCATAACTTGTAAAACAATAAAAACAATAAAAATAATAACAGTTGGACTTTTCTCACAATAAAAAAGCAAACAAAAAAATATTAAAATATATTATTGGATAAGTATAAACGGTTCTTTAAACTATCGTAAGTGCACCAACAAAAGTTCGCCTAATAAGTGACTCCAAAAGAAACCAAATTCTTTGCAAGTGTTGTAAAGGATTTAATTTTATATTTCGAAACAAATTTCTGAGCATGGAGCTAAGGATATGTGATACTCTTCGCTACAAATATACAGTTAGATTCGAATTCCTTATGGAACGATTGCACCGTGTATTTGGAAATGTTTCTGAAGATTCCAGATAGTAAACGCTTTTTGTATAAAATGGGCACAACGAGGCCGACTGAAAAATTCTAAAAATAACTTTACTGTGGAACTTGGCTTTTAAATATTTACTATTGACATAAGGTATGATTGTTGATGAGAAAGTTGATAGCTGGCTAGGAGAAGTAAACTTTGAGTTTAAAAAAGCGATAATCACTACTTTCATGATTTCGAAATCGTATAGTTAAAGTTTCAAAACTTAGAAAAATTAAAATGGATATGTTCGAAACTTTTGGATTACTTTAACACACACTCTGCATCAATGCCAAAGCTAGTAATAAGAATATAAAAAAAAACCAAATATTTATAGAGAAAAATTTGCTATAAACGGCTTTGAGGAAAAAAGGTCCAAAAGCATAAATTTCAATTCAACGCTACAAGCCTCTGCTAAAATTTTCTAACGACTTCGAATAGCATAATTTCGCCATCATATTCTATAAGGACAAATTAAATAATAAAGATTTGCAACAATAAAAAATATACACATTTCAAACTCTATAAAATGCAGAGCACTTTGTAACCTAGTGTAAAGTGGTTTGTAAATTTTCCTGCTTACCTACTGTAGCGAGTTACATATTAGGGTGGGTCTCAAAAAAATCGATTATTCCTTTTAACACTTAAGACTTTTTAAAATTGCTTGGGAGACACATTAGAAAAGTATCTTCAAGTATGAGCTCTTGATATTAATGGGAAGGTCTTCCGCTGCTCAGATTTCTATATTTTCCGTAATTTTGAAAAAAAAATTATCATATCTGAGTATGTTCTCTACAAAAATTGTCTCATACAATATAACCGTAAACCGCACCGTTCAATAGTTATTCAAGATTTCATAATAGTTTTCAGTTAGCAAGTTATAAAATTCAAGAAAAAAAAACAGAAATACGCCTTAAAAAATTAAACTTTCAATTTTAATAACTATTTAACGCTGAGGCTTACGAAAAAATTGTAAGCTACCAATTTTGAATTGAGGTGTCTACTAACCAATTTTTATAATAGTATAAAGTGATAAAAATTATATATTTTTTGATTCACCCTAGTATGCATGCATATATTATATTATGTTTTAAATTACATTTGAATGCTATTGCCAATATGACTAAATTTTCTTTTTTTCCAATTAAAAATTTTATTAATTTTAATTTTTAACAGGACGTCAATATCATTTCAATATTTTCATTTAACATAAAATAAATGAAACTGAGATTTGCGATTTTATTTCAATTAAAATAATCATTTACATACATTCTACATAACGTGCTAAAATCAACCCCATAAAATATGTATTATAAGAAATAAACATGTGTAACTAAAAACTTTACGAAATTTATTTTAAAACATTAAAATAAAATGAAAGTTATAACGTTCGCATTTCGAAATAGTTTTTTTTTTTTTGTTGTCTTATTTTCTCTTTACCACCCACTGTATCGTACGTAACGCTACATAGTCGTCGACTATACTTGCATATTAGTAGTATATATATTTTTATAATTTTAATTAATTTATTTGTCCTAGAAATATTTGCATTTTAAAATATATATCGCATTTCTAATTAAAAACTTGTCTCAACCAAGCTGTCAAAGCTGAATTTGGTTTTCGAAATAGCTTCGTCTTTTAAGCATCCTTGCTTCGCCCAACTACTTGCAGCTTCTAATGTAGGTATTTAAATATGTGTGTATGTTTAGCAAAATCCCGCTACTTTGCTCACGCTTTCTACTTGGCCGTGCGCGCTTTGTTGATGTTTGTCTTTTCAGCCTCGGTGAACTCCAATATGCTCTCGATGGCCTGCAAGTGGCCCTGCGAGTTCTCCTTGTCGGTCAAGAAGTAGTAAATGGCGCTCTTAAGGAACTGCAGCGTCACCTCCGGGTCGACATGCGTGCGATTCTTTTGCGCCTCTAGCAGCCGTCGATAAATTGTCTGCACGTGCGGGAAGGAAGGGAAATAACAGTATAAAATGAGCGCGTTTGACGCTAAATTTTGTATATTTACATACATATTTTTTTCTTAAAACAAAAACTTAAAATTTTCATTAATTTTTCGTTAAATTTCAAAATTAAATGAATTAAATTTCAGTAAAAAAAAATTAAATTTTTACGTGTAAAAAAGTATTTACATTAAATGAACAAAACAATTTGTGCTAATTGACTGCGAATTTGGTAATCATGAAAATTTCAAACCATTTACCTACAAAATAAGTATTATATGCGAGAATTTGTAAAAAATGCATGAATTTATAAATACATATTTATATTTACGAGTATGTTGGTTTGATGTTTTATGAGCATTATTACAATGAGACATTTAGATTGTAGACATTTGAGATTATTATGAATATTACCAGACATGAATATTAAATAGTTATTAATGGGTGATGTGATTTTAAACCTTTGTTTTTTAATATGACATGCTAAATATATATATTTTTTTTGGTTTCGTTGCGCTTTTTTTAATATTATTAGAAACTGGCAATACCTTTAATGTACACTAAATGTTGATATAATTATATCTCTTGCGACTATTAAACGCCTAAATCATTCAAAAAATTATAAAATATAATAATCTATGATTACAAGTGTAAGTTAACAGGGCACTACATACCTTTATCCATATTTTCTTTCAGATATTATTATGTTTACGAAAGAAACGCAAATAATTGCTTGAAATTATACAGTATTTAAATTTAACTTAAATTGAGTCTCAATTATGTAAGTTGAGATTTTGTATGGTATATTTAAAGGGCTATAACCACTTGCAAATTAAAAAAAAAGTTTTGTATATATTTCGTATGTACATATATTTGAGAATATTATCTGAAAAGTTGAAGTTGATCCGCCAAATAGTTGCAGCGATATGAGCGCATTTGTAAGAACTTAGTGTGATCGACTCACAAAACTTTAAACGGAACAGTTGGAGCATTGATTTGAAATTTTCACACGCCCCTTATAAAAATATTTCCCAGGTGATGATCGAAGAAATAAAATTTTTGAAAAATATCTCAATTTTTAAGCCAGTCTGTAGTGTAAATTTTTGCGCCAAAAAGTCGTATTTTGCCGACATTTTGCCAAAAATCAAAATTTTTACAAGTTCTTCGATCATTAACTGTATTAATCTGGTTTTTGGATTAGAGAAAATTTTTAGCAGAAAAATCTTCCTCACTGCCAGACACCTTTTATCGAAGGTCCTCCTGGAATGGAATAAAACTCCACTTCAAAAACAATTCAAAAAATCGAATCAAAAAAAATGTTTCTGACTTCTAAGTGGATATAATGCCTTAATATATAAATACATACGTGGATATGTTTATTTATAGTATAATAATTACTTTCTTAACATATTGTAATTTATTGAACTGTTGTTCCTTCCTTGAACTGTTGCTATCCTTACATTAGCCGAATATGTCAATTTTATGACAAAATGAGTTCTTTGCCTATATTTTGTAGTATTTTTCGTTATTTTGATTAAGAAAAACTTTTTTAAATGCAAAAAAACTTTTTTAATCCAAAAACAAAATTATATTGCTAAAAATATAACCTCATTGATCATTTAAAAGCGTCCTCCAAATTCTACCGACTCTTTTAAGCCAGAATAATCTAAATAAATATTATATTTATTTATACATGATCTTTAATAATCCACACCTTATTTAGCCGACGCCACTTCCCAGAGATGGTACGAATGTATGCAATGTACAAAAACAACAATACCGCCGTGAGATATGAAAATTCAACCAAAGCACCGAAGAAATCAAATGACAGGGTACGAAAAGCAAAAATGTGGTACAAAAAAAAATCAATCATGAACACCAATACCAATACAATACCAATACAAAGTACAAATAAGCGCATGAAAAAAATTAAAAATAACCCAAATAAATGCCGAAAAGTAAATTAAACAACAGAAAGCCACATATTTTAGTAAATTAAAATATCTATAATAATAAATAAAAATAAAAAATATATTAAAAATTAATAGAAAAACAAATTAACGCAATATTGAGGAATCGGTATACTAAACTACGAGAAATTTACAAACCTTCCGGGCGCCAAGAACCCATAACGAAATTGCTTCTTTTGCAGTAAGGAGAGCATGATTACTGCCGCTTTCTTTTCTACACCCAGCTGCCTATAAAATATATGTAGTATATATATGGTAGATATTTTTTTTTAAGATACAAAAACATAGTATGTCTGGTTGTAGTAAATTTTCAAAGAAGTTTCGTCTCAAAGGAAATATTGTAGTATAGAAGTGGTATGTAGTAGATAATTACAAAGTTTCACAACGAAGTTAGTTTGACTAATTAAAAATAGGTAAATACGCAAAATTCTAAATTAAAAAAAAATATCAATTGAAATTTGTTAATATACTCATATGAAGCAAATCAAGGGTATATGCCTAAAATATACATAGTGTCTTTGTACAATTACTTTTCATTAAATGTATAGTTTTATTAACAAACGTACTTTGCACAAGTTGGTTAAATAATTGTTTTTTTTTCAACTGTAGACATGCAGTTCACTAGTATTAAGCAAATATTTGAAACAAACCAATATTTATTTTGCATTATTTTTCACAGCTATTGCTAACGTTGTGTGTATGTATATAATGCTTTCAACAGTTTTATTTATAGTGTATTGCATTTTATTAAATAATAATAATAGTAATAGTGTTTTTTTTTTTGTTTTAACCATGCCCTCCTTGCATTGCCACACTCAATAATGTGGCACAATTTTCATAATGTTTGCACACAGCGGGAAACCCCAGCTACTTTCGAAGCGGGACAAACGAACTTTGTTATTAAAAGCTGATAAAATGTGGCCAATGAAAAGTTCATAAGTTTAGTATGGTAAACTTTTAAGATTTAATTAAATTTTATTTCAATGTCACGCTGTATTAGTAATAAGCAAATTTATTAACTTTACAAAAATTGTCAGAAAAGTTAGAAAGCTGTCAGAAAAGTTAGAAAGCCTCGTTGTTAGTCATATTTATAATTAATATACTAAAAAAAATACCGAAATTTTTTAAAAGTTTTTAAAAATATTTTTTTGTTCTGCATTCTATTAGTATTCTTATTTTTTTCTATATTATGCCAAAGGTAGAACCATAAACTGAGTCTGCGATAGTAAATGGGGCTTGAATATATTCATATGCTTGTAAAATAGTAAAGTAAATTCCTAGAACTGTAAAAAAAAATACTACTTGTGTGATAATATAAAAATTATATAAAAAAAGTTTATTCAAGAAATATGTAGAAAAAATTCCAACCTCAAATATAAAGAATATCTAAAGAATATATCAAAAATATCCGTTTATTTTTAACGTAATATCTTATTCAAGAAATTTGCCTAAAATATTGTATGAAAAATTATTAACACCAAGTAAAGTTATCAACTAATTTCTAAAGAAACTTTTAGCAAAGTTGAATTGCAAGGTTTGAAAGAGTTTAATGTTCATATTTGTAATTAATAAATTAAAAAAAAAATTAGAAATTTTCTAAAATTGTTTAAAAATATTTTTTTCAGTTTGTACTCTTATTTTATTTTTAATTTTTGGTTTTTGTTTTTTTTTTGTTTGGTCTGCATTATATGACTATTCTTCTTTGCTTCATACCTATGTTCTTAATAGTAAAATATTATTATACAAGAAATTGCAGCAAATATTTTTTGAAAAATTCCTAACCTCAAATAGATATTATAAATAATTTCCAATGAATTTCTAAATTTTATTTAATATAACTTTACGCAAAGACATTTTATCAGCTTTTTTCATGCTATATCATTCAATTACACTTTGTTATAAAATATTTCTTATTCAAAATTTTTTCTTTCTAATTAAATGAAACAATCTTTTATGCAACGCTTTGCAGAAAACTGTCAACATTTTAATTGAAATCAGAAAATTATTGTGCAAATATAATAAAAATTAGAAGCACAAACATTTAAACATAAATAAATAATTGAATATGCATACACTTCAAATAATAAAACTAAATAATTTTAAAAAAAATTGCACAGTTAAAGTTTGATAAATAAAATGGTACTTAGTAAATATTATTTACGACGCGACTAAATACATATATGTATATATAAAATTAAACTAATAATCGTTGCCATAATATGCTATTAACTTTTTTTTTATTATAATTTTTTTTTTTCTAAACTACAAGCCATATAAAACATTTAAAACTAACAACTACCAATAATTTTTGCATTCGCTTCGTTATGCATTTGATTGAATAATAAAATTTGCTTGCAAACAAATTAACTCAAACAAATTTTTATGTTAATTCGAATTAAATGATGTTATTTATGGTGGTGATTCTCTCAAATAAAAATGAAATGTTAATAAATAAGGCAAAAAATCAACAATCATAAGGCAAAAATTCAATGAAATTTCTTTTGCTATGCTTTTTATGAAAATGGTTTTATGAACTATGAATTTTATATTGCTGTCGAATTACCACCATGCAACAGTTGCTCTGCTAAGCTGTCATCACTCACATTAACAAATTAACATAAAAACCAACGAATTATTCTCCTACGAATGCAATGCAATGTAGTGCTTGAACGCAACTCGTGATACATATACTGTTACATATGTATGTAAGTACAGTTGTAATGCGCATTATGATATATATGCAATACACAAAAAACACTTAAGAATCACAATGCAATAAAATGTAGTATGCAAAATAATATTGAAAATAGTATGAAGAATATTTTGAAAAATCTTACGCGTATATTTTCCAATTCATCTTGTGTACTCTGCAACTGATGCAACAATTCATTGATGGAGACCTTGTTATCCGGTGCTCGATAAGCTAATTCGAGAGCCTGTCGTTGGATGAAAAGGAAGCAGAGAAAAAAATACCGTTAGCATCCACGCATTATGTAAATATAGTAAAAGGTGGGGAGGCGAGCCAGTGATACCCTACACACAATTCCTCGAAAATAATGATGGAAAGTTAAAATTTGACTGATTCCTATACGTTTAACGGATATCTGAAAATGAAATTTGGATATATAACTATATTCGTGAGGTTTGCCAAGAGATGATGTAACTTGATTATTATTCCATTATTCCATTGTTTCAATATTCCGAACATGCGACTGTCCTTGTGCGTCTTTAACAGTTTATGCCATTTAAGAACACACAAGAAGACCTCGCAGAATCTTTGGGAGTAACTCAAGCAGAAATTTCAAAACGTTTGAACAGCCTGAAACATTCAAAAGCAAGGAAATTGGGTGCCATATGAATTGAGGCCAAAAACGTTGGGAGATGATTTTGTATGTCAAATATGCTGTTTGAACGCTACAAAAAGAAATCGTTTTTGCATCGGATTGCTCTTGGTGATGAAAAATGGATCCATTACGATGACCCGATACGAATATGCATAACGACAAGGTACTGCTCTGTATTTGGTGGGATCAGAAGGGCATGTTGTATCATGATCTTCCAAAATCGGATCAAACCATTCATGGGAAACGATACCGACAATAACATATCAAACTGAGGCGAGCGAATATCGAAAGTGTTCGGAATTTACGACTAGACACGAAACAAAAATGACAACGCTTGGCTTTATGTTGCAAAACCGGTTAAAAACTATTTGACAACCAGTGGTTAGCAATTTTTGCCTCTACCATTTGCTTCGGTCGATGCTTCTTGGAATAGGGTTCACATCAGATCAGGATATCAAAAATTAGCTTGATTCATTCCTGGACTTAAAGCAGAAGCAGTTCTTTTGGAATCCAATCCACAAACTGCCAGAAAGATGGGAAGATGTTAAAGCTTCAGATGGGTAATATTTTGAATAATACTATTTTACATTTTTTTCTTAAACAAACGTTCAAATTTTGAAAAACTTAGCGAAATTGCCATTATCTCCTGAATCTAGAACACATACTCTTTCTAGTATCTACGTTAAACCTTAAAGTGTTGAAACACTTATCCTTCGACAACTCACCTGATCAGCGTGAGAAATACGCTCTGCTTCCTGTCCCTTCTGGTACATATGCAAATACATTTTGTTCTGCTTATCCTCATGTTCGGCCAATTTACGTTGCAAGTCCTCCAACTGTTTTTCCAACTCACGAATACGTTCCTTGGCGTGCTCATAGTCGGGTACAATGTCGGCATAACGGGTATTACACTCCGCCAATTTTTGCAATAATGCCTCCACTTTGTCATTGTGTGAACGTTTCATCTCGCTGCTGGCACCATCTTGTGTGCGAATCAACTCTTCGATTTTCTGTTCATACATGCGTATAAGTTCCTGACGCTGCAACTCATAGTTTTTGATGGTGGCTGTGTAGTCTTCTTCGGTGTCATCACCAGCAGCGCAGGTCTCATCGTGACATTTACTGTCGTTGGCGACAATTGCCTCGTCACTACCACACGCAATATCCTGTGTATGGGCAACATAAGAATCCTTCGAATGAACCGACAAATCTTCGAAATGACCCGAATCGGCAAAGGAACTTTGCATTTCCGAAGTCAGTGGTTGAGTGTGATGCAAATGCTGGCTATGTGCATGATGATGCAAATGTTGATTGGGTATATGACGTGGACTTGATTTGGACGCATCATCGACCATATCAACAATCGGCGAAACATCCTGCGACGTCTTTAGTTCAGCTTCGCGTACAGTAACAGCATCGCTAGAGGCTGAACGCTCTTCGGGTGAGCTCAGCGAGGCTTTGAATAGACGCAACTCGACAACTTCACGTGTGAGGCGCAAAATTTCCGAATCTTTCTGTTCGAGATCTTGCCGCGCCATACAAAGTAGCTCCTTGAGGCGACGTATCTGACGTGAAGCACGTTGCGTAGGTGTTAAATAATCGGGTCCCACCTGACCGGCATAATTGGAGCAATGTACAACGTATTTCATCTTGCGGCCGCTAAACGTAGTGCCATTACTGTGGACGGTAAGAGAGACGATACATTAGTTAAATTCGCATGTGGGAGCAGTGTTAAGGGCGCGTAGACTTACCGTGCAACATAGGGATGTTCACAGGACATGGTTGAACGGCCGGAAGTTGTGGTCGCAAACGAATACATCGAATCTAAATCATCGTCCAGGTACGTACACGGTGAATCCGGTGTGACGGGCGGTGTCTTTGGCGTTAATTTCGTCTCCTGTACAGCAGTTGGTGAAGATTTCACGTAACGCGTGTTGGCTCCAACGTAATTTGGCGTTTTTGGTGTGGATGCGGTAATTGCCGTTATCCTATTGCCGACGCTTCCGCTTCCTACTGGTGTGCCTACTGCTACTGGCCCTACTGTAGATTTCGTTGTCGTTGTTGTCGAACGTTCGCTGCCAGTACCGTTCAGATTCAAAGACTGTATGTGCGGCGTGGAGAAAGGTTGAAATGTTATTAAAGTGAAAAATTAGTTTTCGGGCAGTGAGCGCATTCGACGCCCAGCGGACAATGGGCAGCGCGCAAAAACACAAACAAACGTGCGCAAAGCTACAATAGTTTTTAATTTTTCTTGTATGATTTGTATGTATGTAGACATATACTAACAAATTAATGTTTTCAATACTTTCTATTCATGTATTACCAGCTAAATTGTGTTGATTTTGATAGTGTGTGCTTGCTGTTGTTGCTATTTTTGTGGTTAATTACTACTAAGCGGTCGATTGGCTTGCAATTTTGTTGTTATTCTATTTTTTCAATTTTTTTTTTCATACATTTTTTGTTTTTACAAAATGTGAAGGTAACCGACGCGTACTGGGTATAAGTGGCAGCGACCACTACAGCCGCGGACTACTCACAATGTTTATGACGAACTATTTAGTTACTTGCCGCTGATGAATTACTGCTGCAAGCTACGCAAAAATGCTTGCAATGCTTAGTGTTGCTTAAAATGGTAATCGTAAAACAAAACAGACAGCAAAATTAGGTATTCAATGTTTGCGTGCCGCAGTCACCGCGGACCGCGCAAACCACTCGAGCGAAGTTCGTTTTTTGTTTTTGTTTTATAATTTAATTTCATTTTTTTTTCGTTTTGCCGATGCTGCGGCAAACTGTAAATTGAGAAATAACCACATGAATCGCATCATTCGCAGCGCACTGAAGTCGTAAAATTACTTCTGCTACTAAAGCTTAAACCTGAGCACTATTAAGTGATTATCGTACCAAGAAAAAAAAAAAAGAAAAAACAAAAACAAAAAAATATTGTAAATATGTAATTAGAAATAAAAGAAAATCAAGTGCTACAAAATAGTGCCGGCGAGCTCATTTTAATAGCTGTAACATAAATAGTTGTGGTCAATTTTCTGCTCGAGTGATGGATGTGCCGATAAGCTGGACCAAGCCATCGCCGGGCGGACGGACGGCAGTTAAATAAAACAGTAAATTGATGAATGGATATACAAGCGAAATGTAAAACTTAGATTAGCAAATTAGTGTTCCCGTTTTACAGCGTGTGACCAAAAGTAAAAACAACAACAACCGCTGCTCTGGTGCACTTGATTGGCTCGACGGTCTGCGCTTAGTTCATCACTTTTTAACCACAACACCATTCAACCGCAAAAACCGGTAATTTCTTCATAATTATTTAATTTTTTTTCAATGCCTTTCTTGTTGTGTCTTCCAATGCTATCGCTCTTCCGTGGCCGTTAGTAGAATTGTCTCGAACTCTACCTAATTTTTTTTGTCTTCCAACAAGCTTTTACCGACTACAACTTAGACACTCAAGATCCATGGAATGTCTATATCATGCCATAGTAGAAACGTTTTCTTCTAATTGATTGAGAATTTATTTACTCCCATGCGAGCCGTCCATCCACCTCTGTTAATGACGAAATAACGCATGAAAATCATCGTGTTGGCATCAGAGAATTTGCAAAGATTTGCAACATGTCTTATGGATCGACTCAACTCATTTTGGTATGAAGCGTGGGCATTATATATTTGTACCAAAAAGCCTGAATCTTTTGCAAAAACGACGTCGAATAGAGGAGGCAAAAAGATGTGTAAAAACGTAGCTGAGGACCCTACGGGTGTATGAATATGAATCTAGCGAATGGCGCTCCAAAAATGAGCCGAAACCGAAAAATCCAAAATTTGTTGAAGGTACAAAGAGGACTTGAGCGATTAGTTAATGTTTTGAAAATTATCACGACACTTTGAGAGAATGATTAACGGATTCATTTGTGTTCTTGTGATGAATAGTACTCCCGACAATAAAATAAGGAGATGGTTTTCGCATCCAGTGGATCGCTGGGATTTATTTTTGTTGATGATGATTATTAATGAAATGACTTCTGAGCCAAATCATATAAAATATTTGATAAATTAGACTATTGTGGCCAATCAAAAAGCAGCTGCATTCTTCAACAGAATCGGAGGATATCTTATGTACATTTATTATTATTTACTTAGATTTATTATTAATCGATAAAATTCTTATTGATAAAATAATCATTTCATTGATGAATTTCATTATGCTTTTAACATTTGGTCTATATTAATGCAGCTTTATGGCAGCAATTTGGGAAAAATTTAATTTCTGTTGACTTAAGAACACACATTATAAGTTATATATACAATTCATATATAGGCATATGTATGTATTTGCTTGACCTGCTGTCACTGCATTTTTATGGACGGAAATCAAGAAATGAAAATGGAGCTGATTTGGCTTAAAGCAACGGTTTCTAAGTAGGCTACATTTATTTAAATATACCTATACATACGGCGCATATGTATACATATACATATATACATTCATATATATTTACATGTTCATGAATTTTAAATTGTCATAAATATTAACGACTAGAATTAAAGTTGCCTATACTAGATGAATGCAAACATATGAACAAATTTTTATGTAGGTATTTATTTTTAAATAAAAAGTAGGTTAATATGTTTCAGTGCTGAATTTCTTCAACCATACACCATACCATTTACATACATACCAATGTGGATATAACTGTAGATATAGAAAAGCGAAAAAAGATGTGAGAACCTATGCAACTATGCGACGAGAAAATACTATATAAATTAGTAAGGTATGAATAGGCAAATATGTATGTAAGTACTACCAGCTTCTTGTATGTAAAGTCATTAGGTACATATATATGGGTAGATGGGTATGTGCTTGCAAACATTTTATGCGAATTGTGTTGCAAAATATAAAAGCGAATAAAAAAGAACCTTTGAAAATGTGGTCGTGTCAAAAAACCTGAATGAGTGACACTTTACCTGCCATAAAAATAGGCTTTTCTTTACACAAATGTAAGCACATACATACATATGTACATGCATAAGTGTATTTGGCTTATTCATTACTGCCCCGTAGGAAATAGTAAGTTCACACATACATAGACTTTTTTATAGGATTTGTAAGAAGTTATAAAGCACGTTGGATGTAGGTCCGCGCCAAAATAAAATAAATGAAATACTAGTGCTGTATCGTCAGGTAACGGTAACCGCTTTGCTTTCAAATAAATCATCAGTTAACTATTAACTCTTAGTTCAACATAAATAAGGAGAGAACTAGTCAAAAACTCAATTTTTACGTTATATACTTTTACGCTTAAAATTAACCTGTAAGGCGATTACCAAGACTTATATGGTGGATGACAAAACTTAAAGCCAAAATAGAACTTTAATGAAAATATGTATCTTTAATTTGATCGGTCAGTTTGTATGGCAGCTATATGCTATAGTAATCCGATTTGAATAATTTGTTCTGAGATTGTAGCGTTGCCATGAACAATAAGCTATCACAAACTTCGTGAAGATATCTTGTCAAATAAATAAGTTTTCAATACAAGGACCTGATTTTGATCGATCAACGGTTCCGACAAACAAGCAGCTTCTTGGAGAGAAACGGGCGTTTTCCAAAATTTCAGCACGATATCTCCAAACTGAGTGACTAGTTCGCGTATATACAAACAGACGAGCATGGCTAAATCGGCTCAGATCGTCACACCTCCAACGTTTTCTTTTGGGTGTTACAAACTTGGTAGTAAACTAAATACATATGTATGTCCGTTCAGAGTATACATATTTTATGGCGCAATCATTCCCTGTGATTTTCAATTGATTTTTATTTTGAGAAGATATTTAAACAATTACGTTTTTGAACCAGGAATTGAATAGTATATAATATTTTATATTTTAATTTCAGTATTTCGGTAGCAATAGTACAAACCTTTTTAATTTTTTTTTCAAAAATTTCTAAAATGTCGTAGGCTTGAAAATATTAATTACAAATTTCCTACAGGCACAGTTCAGAGGTTCACATCCGTGTATTTATGTGTGTATAGTGCATATGTCAATTCCTTTTTCAACCATAGCGCAAGCCCAACCAAGCGGCTAGAAATGCTGTATAGTCTTTTCAGTGCTGATATTAAATTATGCAATTACTACAACACTTGAAAGCGCGAAACAAGTCTTTATTAGAAGGTAGCCTGAATAGTTGCGCTAACGGCCGGAAAGGTATGGAGGAGCATCAAGTGTGCTTGCGCACATAGAGCACTTGTACACGTGTGTGGGCAAATAATTGAATGCTCATAGCACAAAAAAAATCGATATAAAAACTAATGACAACTTTATAGCGTGCGCCTAGACTCATCCATGCATACATACCTATGTACACAAATATAAAAAATATGAAAAAGAAAGTAACTAAGGAAAATATTTTCAATTAACACGAACATATCTTACTTTTATGAAATGGAAAGCGGTGGAAATGAGAACCATTGATTGCTATAATTTAAATGAGTGCATACAACTGTGTACGTATGTACATATGTATGTAGTAGCGCACTAAAACTTGCCAGCCAATTTGTTGTGTGGACTCTCGTTATTATCCTGCAAGGTTTTTGTGATTTGGCATTCTGCCAGTATTTCAATAAAAATCCATTAAAGGAACAAAACTATAAATTCTGTTACAAATCAGTTCGGGGCGCTGAATGCTACGAATCACTTGATAATAGTTAATGAATGGGCTATTTACAATTTTATCATTAATAAAATGATTTGAGGTTTCATATTTTAATGAGCAAAACGGACACATACAAAAAACGGTATTTTTGTATGAAATAAGTAAATCGATATGCAGGATAAACAGCATTGAAAACGTAAGGAAGAGATTGATTAAAAGTGTTTGTGTGAGGATATGCATGCATACTTTGTGTGGTAAGGACATGACAAACCAACGATTTCTAACTATTGGCTTTGTACAGTTATTCTCTGCTATTGGTTTCTATTTTTCGGTAAACAAAAATACAACTAACACATTTTATTGTCTCTATTCGTTAACTAAAATTAAAAAAAATTTCTTTTCTACTGAAAACTTGTCACAATTTACCATCGATTATATTGAATCCTTGATATTAATTTCGCGTAACGACATTTGTAAAATGCAAACGTGTGTGTGAGCGGCGATAAATGCAAAATAAATTAAATATATAAAATAAAAATTAATACAATTCTAGACATTTGAAAAAGCTCAACAACACTTATTAGCAGTTTATTTATTATTATTTTGGAACTTGACACTTGCACCACGCCAAAACAGAAAATCAACTAAGTATGCACCTGAGATTTGGTCGCTACGAGCGCCAAACGCCAAGAACGTACAATCAAAGGAATGTCAGGAATTGTTGAAACACTCATTTTATGAGTGTTATTTTGTGTTTCTTTTCACTACTTTTTCTCTCTCTTTAAGTAAATACATATACAAATTTACTAAAGCTTATGGGCTTATGTTTTCGAAAATATCAACAAAACTAGCACCCTTAAAAATATTGTAATAGACTTGAGTGCGTGTATAACTGAGAGAGAAAATGTGAAAGATGAGAGGCCAACTTGGTGGTGGCAAGCTCTTCGCTTTTCACCGGAAGTAACAGCACATAGAAGTACGAGTATTTTTCGTATCCAGTTGAAGTTCCATGTTTACAAACAGATAACAATTTTTCTTTTTTTTTAAATTTATTTTTAAGTATATACTCAGTGTGGGGTGATGGTTGGAGCTGTATGGGGAGTTTTTTCGTTTATTCGCGGTTTACTCAAACCTTATTAAAAAAGCTAAAGCTATGAAAATTACCATTGTTTGGGACAAGGTGATGTAATAACAGCTGTTACTTATAGCAAAATTTCTATAGAACTTACAGTAATTTACAATAATATATAAATATTATATTATACATATAATATTATATTGTATGTAAAACTTTAAAGAATTATTATTTCAAATTGTATATTTTCTATTTTTTGTTAAACATAAAATAATAATACTTTAGAGCAATGTGACGGTGTTATATTATATAATACTGAAGGAGTTTTAGATACAAAATTATTTATAATTAACTATTTTATCGCATTCAATTCACTAATGAAATTGTATACAAACTCGATGGACCCAATCTGAACAATCGTTTTAAGCTTTAAGCAATTCCTTCACTCTTCTTGAATTCTAATAAAAAATCTAGTGAGTGTGCTATGAGTACAACTAACTACCGTCCTCGATTCGGTACTTCTCTGCTTGTTAATTTGAGTTTTTTACTTTCCTGTTAGAGAATCATTAAAGTGGTATAACTGCAATATATGTAAATGTGGTTGATATCAGTGGTTTGTTCGATACACTACTCTCTATTTAATTATGCCCGTTTATGTGACTTATAGCAGTTGCTTGTTCGATACGCTACTCTCCAAAGTTTAACTTAATTTTAAGTTGAAGATAAATGATTGAATTAGATTTGTTAGAAATCTTGTACGCTGCGAAGACATTTTAATTCGCCTTAAATGTAGATTAATCGTCCTATTTTAATTAATGTTGTTTTTTTCTAATATTTATTTAATATTTTAACTTCAAAGATAAATGATGAAATGAAGTAATTAATTCGACTATATTACATACATATGTTAGACCTTGGTATTTTGTGTTTTAATATTTCCGGCATGTACGGGTTGTTTTGTATTGAAAAAAATTAAACAAATCAAAAACGGTAAATGTGAAACTAGCATATTTAAACTGAACTTGAGTTCGTAAGTTATGAAAATATGTAAATAAGATATTTTGGTAATTTAAAAATAAAAAATAAAAATAAAATAAATAAAAAGTAAAAAATTTTCTACATATTTATTTAATTTAATAAATATAACTCAATTAACAAATAAAAACTAAATAAATTCTTAGTCAAAGTTTTAGAAATAAAAAATTAATGTAAATGTTATATATAAATTATTAATTGTAGGCACTGTAACCTTATATTGGTATTGGTGTAGAGTTCGCAGGCTGCAAAAACAAAACCGATGTCAAATACAACTCTGAGAGGTCGTTAAGCTCTAAGGAGTGCACATACAAGTATATAAATATTTTAAAATATCACACACACTCTCCTGTGACCTAAAAACAACGCCGCACACTGTCAATTTCATATCTAGTAATACAACTAATCAAACAATTTTTTTTAGCAAATTTAGCAAGTCTTTTATAACCATATGGCAAAATGAAAAATGTTTATGTATATATATTATAATATTGCCCCTTTGCGGGTATGTTGGAATAGTATATTTTTCGCTTACAAATTCTTTTGAAACTGGTGTCAGAAAATCAATAGAACTCGTAACTCCCAATCTCATAACGTATCCCTTTCCCAGCTGGTTAAGAGCATTTAAAGAATTTGCAAATAAATTTGTTTTAAAGAAAGAAACGCAAAATATTTTAATTAAACTAAAAGCTATTTACTCACCATTCTCTGCATATCCCGGTTAATCCTGCGCTGCTCGCCAACACCATCACTTTTGTACATTATGTCATTTCCTTGCATAAAACCATTTGGGACGGCACAGTTTTCACCACCACTCGTCTGCAGCTCATGCTGCGTATCCGTAGTTAGAAGCGCCACATTATCCACTGTTGCAGTGCCTTTAATTGCTGTCTCGGTGCCAGCTCCAGAGTCAACAAATGAGCCGCCTCCAGTGCCTTGATCCTTTATTGCATCCGTTTTGGACGATTTTTGTTGCGAATTATAATTGTAATTTAGGTAACTGCGACGCAGCGATTGCGAACGCGTCAGATTGCCAACTGTGACAGCGGGTGTTTGCGTGGACAACGCCGAACCAAACAAAAGTGTGGCCTTGCGACGCGTTGCCGTTGCTGTTGCACCCCCAAGCGTACCGGCTGTGTGTGTGGCGTGGTGGTCGTATAATTGTTTTTGTTGTTGCAGTTGGTGTGTTTCAAGCACTCCTGTGAGCGGGTGGTTGTAGCGGCTAACCGTAGAGTTTGGCATATTGCTCAGGTGGCGCGTGCCACGTTCCATTTCCACAAAGTGCTCACTGCAATTGTTTAATAGATTTGACTTTGAGCCGCGCATGCGTAATGACGCGGAACGACGAATTGGATCGGTTGAGTGCAATAGCTGTTTCAAGTCTCTGCCATGTGAGTGCTGTGGCGAATGTTGCTGCTGTTGTTGTTGTTGCGGTTGCTGCAAGTGTGGTATTTTACTCGTGTTGGTCGTGAGTTGTGTTGTTATTGCTGCTGAAGGCAGTTGCTTGATTGCTACATCATTCATGCCAGCCGCTACAATATTAGGTGTTTTTGTTGCTGTTGTTGTTGTACCATTTGTTGCTACAGCCGTCATTGCATTAGTTTCTTTCACAATATCGGTTATTGGGTTATTGTTACTTATCACCGTTTGCTTTGCCTCAGCCATCATCTCGCTCAGGCCCCCACCAGCATCGGTCGTTGTTGCAACACATGACGTTTCGACAACCGTCGTGGCTGTCGCTGTTGTTGCCGTTGACAATGATGTCATTGATTTGTCACGTCACTGCAACTATAAAAGACGAGAGTAGTTGTATATGTAGTTATATTTGTGTGAGAATTTGAGCTGCACGGCATTTCAAGAAACTTGCAGTGGAAAGCGTCAAAGTAAAATCGAGCTATTGCAATTGGCGCAACAGCATAAAAGCATGATTAATTAACTTAATTATTATGAAAAGCAAAAAATTGGCTGTCGGCATCATTTGGCGCTTCTCAGGTCCAGCTAATTAAAACTTTCATTTGTGGCGGCTGAAAAAGCAACAACAAGTGTAGTGAATGTCTATTTCATGTTTGAAAACAATTTATATTTTTTTCTTGTAATTACTTCACTTCTGATTTTCCTTTCCTTTCGAAAACCATTTGCTACTCTATACGCCACTAATACGGCTTATTAGATACTAAATTATGCGATTTGCTATATAAATGAATGTAAAGTAATGAGCAAGTAATACAGTAATTATTGGTTTAAATGCAGTGGCGATTAATGAAAACAACACAAAAAAATTATAAATAAAAAAAATTGTATAAAAAAACTTTAAAATTAATGTATATAAATATATATAATATGTTAATATTCATTTTTATAATTTCAACTCAAATTTCAATGTTCACAAAGGCTTTATTTGGTTTTCAGTAGTTGAGCTTCTTCGAAAATCTTTCTACGCTTTGTTTAACATCTGATCAAGACTGAATCGGACTGGTCAATTTAAACCGGCACAACCGAATCGATAAAAAATATTTTCCTAGATTGATACAAACTTTTTTATGCAGTTTGATCTCCATATGTCAATTAGTGTGTGTTTGGCAGCGGTTTGTTTATGATGCGAACAATTTGTCTGACGACTTTTAACATGGAAAACAAAAGTTTGCTTGAAATTTTGTGTTACCAAAAGAATCATGACTGCGGAGTCTACTTTATCACGAACACAAGTATTTTAGTAGCAGAAAGCATTCAGAGAAGGCGGTGAAGTCGTCGAAAACTTGCCACACGCAAGTCGTTAATCCATCTCTGTTAATGACAATAACATCAGAAAAGCTAAAGAAAGAGTGCTTGAAAATATTCATATTGGCATCAAAGAGATCGCAGAGAAGCTCAAAATGTCTTATGGATCGACTCAACACGTTTTTGTTAATATTGTTAATTTTAGATTTGTATCAAAGAGCTGAAGGTGCCATCACATTCTAGCATGATCGTGACTTACTTTTTGGCTCAAAACGAAACGAAAGTCATTGCTTAGCCATCGTATTCGCCAGATTTCACACCCTGTTTTCTGTTTACAAATTTGAAAAATCCACTTCGGGAAACACGCCATATGTCCATTGATCCAATATATGTTATAAACACGTTTGCTTCTCCTTTATAATTTCAACTCAAATTTCAATGTTTACAACGACTTTATTCGGCTTTCAGCAGTTGAGCTTTTTCGAAAACTTTCTATAGCTTATATAGCGCTAAAACGTCGACTTGAGTTATATAGTAGGAGGCGTGAGTACGGCCCTCATGAGTTAAGTGTCGAAAAACAAGTTGTATGCTGAGTCTTATACCAATACAAAATCATCGACGTTTCCAATAAATATAAGAAAAAAACAATAAAACCAAATAATCATTAATTTTACATATTATTACTTCATAAAGCTCGCTGAGGATTTTAGAAATCAATACTTGAGATACGCACTTCAAAAAAGTTCAATATTTTCATAACTGATTTCTCTGACAGAGCGATTGTCTAAGGCTTTAAGGCAATAAATTCGTATGTTTTTCTAGAAATTTTAACAATACCAACGTAATTTCGGCCAGTAAGTAAGTAAGAATGACACATATAGACAGTTTATCACAACTATATTATTTACTATATTATATATATATATTATTATATTATGTACTTGTATATATTATAATATTTATTAACGCAGACCAGTTCCTTAAACTCAAATTTCCACTCTAAGAGGTGATATGAGGATGAAGCATACACAAGAGCCATTAGTAGAAACGTTAGTTTGTTATAAATTTCTTCACGACATCGAATGACATCTCAATTACATTTTAATTATTTCTTTAAAGCAAAGATAGATCCCATAGCTAATTGCATTAATTAAAACAGAAACAAGAAAAACGTCAACTTCGGTGCAGCCAAATGACTATGACACCCTTCATATGTAGATGCATTTCTTATAACATAAAAGGGTATAAAAATATCTTTATATTGAACTTAATCAGCCAGTTTGTATGATAACTTTATGCTATAGTGGTTTGATCTGAAATTTTTTTCGAAGATTATATTGTTACCTTGGACAATAATCTCTGGCAAATTTCGTGACGACATGTATATTGTCAATTAAAAAAGTTTGCCATACAAGAACTTGACTTTCAACGATCAGTTTGTACGGCAGCTATATGTTATAGTGGTTCGACGGTTCCGACAAATCTGGAGCTTCTTGGAGAGAACAAAAGACGAGTGCAAAATTTCAGTTTGATATCTCAAAAACTTAGATACTAATTCACGCATATACAGACAGACGCCGTTTCCTGCTTGGTGTCGTAAACTACGTGGCAAACTTAATTTGTATACACTGTTCAGGGTATAGCAATATTTAATATGAAGTTATTGTACTAAAATAGTACTAATATTAGTAAATTATAATGGAATTTGTTATACGGGAAATTAAAAAATTACCAATTAAGTAATAAGTAAATTAACTTTCCTTATTTATGAACTGATCGAATTAACACAAATAGAATAATAATAAAAAAACTTCCTCGTCTATTAACCACTATGCAGTTGCACAACTGATCAAGCTGCATACACACATACATACATGTTGGTATGTTTGTTAACGGACGAACGGTTTTCTTTCAATTTAGTCAATGCATACACTTTCGAGTATAAATCACCGGTTCAAACAAGTATTTGCTACCAATAAATTTGCGCAAACACGCACGTAAATTCATCAACTGGCTTTGTTACATATTTGCAATTTTTTTTTTCTTTGTCTTTTTTCTTAATTTATTGTACATTTTAACGCGAAAATTTTATTAAAATTCCAATTAATTGCGTTGCTTATTTGAAAAGTGAAAATCCGAGACAGCCAATAAACTGGAACAACGCGGTTTACCACGCATAAATGAATAGACGAAGTAAATAGGTATGTATTAACTGCATCAAACATGTAGATATATATGTATGTCTATAGATAATTTTTAAAACTCACAATATTAGCTTAAGCGTAGTAAATAAATCATACTTAAGAGCGCGCAGACGATGAAACGAGATTTTAAGCAAACAAAGCTACGCTTTTCTCCACACTTTTGTGCAAATTAGAGTTAATTGCAGTTTAGCGCTACAATGAGCTTACACACTTGCCACAAGCTAGCTATAAAATGTACATATAAACACATATATTATATACAAAAATATTTGCTTTTCCACAATTTCGCTCGTGTTGCTTGTAAATTGTGCATATAAAGTCGTATTGGATGAGAAATGTGGCAACCACATACCGACCAAGTTGTCGAAGGAAAATGAACTAACCATCATTGTGCGCTAAGAGTTATATCTATTATAAATATACATATGTATGTATATATAAATATATATATTTATATGTACATATGTATATAACAACACACGTTTTTAGCTGTGTAACATGCATTGTATTGTACATATTGAGGCAACAAAATGTGCAATAAGTAGTGTAGTACAAGCTGAAGATGTCGAAAGATTTTCATAACCACAACAACGCAGCGGAATCAGCACACTTTGCGGTACATTTTGACGTTCACACCGTTTGTGTTGCGTTAAAAAGTAACGTAAGAAGCAACAACAACAAAAATATTGAGAAAAACAATGCGAAGTGAGCAGTGGTAAAAGCCGTTAAACTAAAAGCTGCAAGACCGGAAGCTACTGCAGCGCAAAAACACGTGAACTTCCTGTATAACGCTAATGTGTTAATGTCGTCGTTTTCGCGCTTTTGCTGCCGCACACATACGTACATAAATCAATGGTAGTTTTCAATAATGCAATTAATGGATATTCCAACTTTCTATTTATGATATACCTATAATACATATGGTACATACTACATACATATTTATATACAAGTATATAAAAATATTTTGGTTGAATGAGGCGCAGAAAGGGTTAGAAGTTGTAAGTTCGTAAATTAATTATTGATTCATTGTGTTTAAGGCATTTAGTTAAAGCATAATTTATTTATTAATACTAAAAAATATAAAAATACAATAACAGCTCTTTGACTAATAGTTGGTCATTATTTAATGAGTCCACTTTGTTAATGTATATACTTGTAGTTAAATGAATGTTACTATACGATTATGCATAGCTTCAACTTAAGCAATTTAATTATAAAATCATAATTAAATGGATTAATTGTTTATATGCTGTACTTAAATATGTATTTGAACTTATACTATACACTACTACAATTATTTATGCAATATTTTTTCAAGGCTTAAAAATTGCAGTTAAAAATATTTTTAAAGAGCGTTACCACTTGTTTAAAAATTTTAACTCAATAAACAAATTACATCATTACTATGATAAAAATATTTTATAAAACTTAATATTTTTAAAAACGCCTACAATTGAAAATATGTTTGAAAAGTGTTGCCACATGTTCGATTTTTTATTAGATTGAATGGATAAATTGGAATATTAATATAATTACACAAATAGGTATACAAAATTTACAATTGAAAATATTTTAGAGATGGGTTACCACATATCTGAAATTGTTTATTCGATTAAATTGATAAATTGGAATACTATAATATATTTAAACAAACAAGTTTAAAAAAAACTTACATTTGGTATTAGTTTTGAAAAAAATGTGGCAAACCTTTTAAATTTTTTTATCAAATAAATTGATATATAATATTATAGCATATATAAAGAAATATTGTAGTTTGAAAAAGCTTAAAATTGAAAATATTTCTGAGAACGGTTGCCACATGTTTGGGATTTTTCAATCAAAAAATTGACAAATTGGAATATT